TGCAGACACTGGGAGGGTGTTGGAAATCAAAAAGCTGCTAATCTGTCTTCATCAGTCCATATTGAGCCATCACACATTTACACTGAAGAGCTGTCTGATTGCATTCTATAAGCATTTTGTCATTTACTCTAGAGTTCTCCTTTAAATCTTATTGACAGTCCAGCCCCAGGTACTGCAATGGGAACTTCCTTTAATATCTAATAATAGGAATACTGGAGACCAGAGTCAGGGGGAGCGGAATCCTTATTGCTCCAGATGTTCTCAGTGAATGTAATAACAGAACTCTGTCGCCCTCTGCTGTTCTTGTTATAGTACTGCAATGCATCAGAGACACTTCCCTGCCTAGACTGGACCATTTCTTGGTACTGATAACATTAAAAAAAAGAAAATTAGGATACAAATCTACAGCAAACAAATATAAGAGGTTACGTGCACTTTGTCAAATTGTATTTAGACTTTAAGCCTGAACGGTCCTGCGTAACATTCAGCACTTTGTAGCTGAGCTCCAATCTGTAATGGTGGGAAGTTTAGTGCTGCATGATTGATGGTTTGCCAGGAGTTCTACTTATTTATAAACAATTTGCAGAGCCGTTGGCCCTGTCAGTCTCTGTGAATGTTCGTTCTCTGCAAACGGATGCACAAAATGAATGTTCTTGTATGTATTTTTGAATGTCATCTTGTAATACTGTATTATGGCCACTAGATGAAGCTGAGGATCACAGGAAACAAGTATTTATTGGAATTGTTTATAAACAGACCTCAAGTTTACAAACCTGCTGGATGGAAAGAGGTAAAAAGGCATCTAATGCTTAAATTCTGCAAACTGTATTTATCCATTGCACACACCAAGGAGGGGGAACACTCAAATGGAAGGGAAGACCTGCACATTGTACGTGACATTTTGGTCAGAGGCGCAGGGCCTGACAATACAGCTCATTGCTCCATATTACAACTGGTGTGTGTATGGCAAACACTGAAAATACCTTTCCGCATCCACATGGAACTTAGCCTAACTGTAAACTTGTATCTGTCCAGACTCAGCCATATGACCGAATGTCCTTGAATGTGAACTTGTTTATCAATGCCGGGCTAAGCAACAGGTCCACTTTAATGCCGGCTCCTGCGGCACATACTCATCTTTCCGTCTCTGCCCTTTCAGTCCATTTAGCCACCAGGAGGATGTTGGAGTACCTCAAGATTTGGAGCTTGGCTTGGAACTCTCTCTCTGCTCCTATCTACCTAAGTGGACAATGGCGCAGCACCATTGCTGTCACCCGGGAGGAGGGGGTGTGAATTGCATGCTCCCCTACACCCGGATTTACCAGGTATTTCTCTGAGCAGAGGAGTAAAGAGGAGCTGGGTATGTTCAGCCGCAGGGGTCACCATTAAAGTGCATCTGTTACCTTGCCCTCCATGGACTGAGCAAAGGTTGGCATTACTTCTACTGGCTCTCCACTCTTGTGATCTTACCTATGGTAGTGATGACAGTGCCAGCGAAGAAGAAAGAATTACTGAAGTCCCAGTTGCTGGGGTTGCTGGCGTTCCCTTTGGGGTTCAGACCTTTCTCCCAGGCTTCCATAATGATCTGTATGAATGAGAATCAAACAGCGTGAGACGGTGGCAGAGGACGGCACAGACCTAATCCAAAAAAATCAGAGAGTGTACATGTGTTTTCTTTATTGTCCATTGAGGAACACAGGTATATTTAGACTGTTGGGTTATACTGCCACCTACAGGAGAAACTTTCCCGACAGTCTAAGAATTCCTGTGTCTCTCAATGGACGATAAAGAAAACCGCGGGAACACCAATTGCTGAGTCATGTGAAGGTCCACACACAAGTAAATGAGTCAGAACAGTGGCTCCCCTCTTATAGGCTGAGGTTTCAGTCAGACAAAGCAAGCTTCATAGCAGGGTGCTTCCGATGTACTGTCTCTACAGATAACTCTTAGTGCTCCTTTGTCATATACAGGTGAAAAAGTCAGAGCGATGACTCCTCATTATTATATCAACCTCTCAGTGTCTGCAACCCCCCTCTGCCCGATCCCTCCACTGGCTTCCATCCCCTACCCCCTCTGCCCGATCCCTCCACTTGCCTCCCTCCCCCAC